GGTGGCTCGGGCATCTGATTAGGATGCCTCCTGGACGCCTCCCTGGTGGGGTATTCCGGGCATGTCCCACTGGGAGGAGGCCCCGGGGAAGACCCAGGACACGCTGGAGGGACTATGTCTCTCGGCTGGACTGGGAACGCCTCGGGATTCCCCCAGAGGAGCTGGATGAAGTGGCCGGGGAGAGGGAAGTCTGGGTTTCCCTGCTGAGACTGCTGCCCCCGCGACCCGACCTCGGATAAGCGGGAGAAAATGGATGGATGGATATTAGAAATATTTTTAGATTGGTTTTCAGTTAGGCTGGTTTAAATGTAGCGAATATCGAACATAAATTACTCAGCATTTAGAAGCCACTTTTCCCCCTTTTAGTCCGCTGCCCCGGAACATGCTCAAACACCCGTAACCTCCTCATATCTACCCGCAACTTTAATTTCAAAATAGCCCAATCGAGCGGGAAAATCGCGGACCTGCCAACTCTGAGATCTTATTTCAATTATATGCATACCTAACGTTTTAATATTCATGGTAACGAGCTTCTTAATTCTTATGCTTTTTTTAAGTCCTCGATACACGGACTTCCGGTTGACAGAGGAAGTGCTTGCGCGAACTCCTTAAAGTGGAAGCATTCTTTTACTAAATTGCGCGCTGCCTTCTGGGGCGCAAAGATTTTTTTATACTGTTGACTGAGGCTGTACTTGTATGATCTAGAAACAGCGGGTTTGGTTGGGGAGTGGAAGACAAGAAAGAAAGAAGATTACTGTGGTATGTGGGTTTTCATTTTCTCGAAACGCCATACAACGTGAGTTTGCGCCTTCAGGTTACGTCGGACGTAAACATTACCGGTAGCCATGGAGGGCAGTAGATGGCCGCATAGCTAATGCTAACGCTGGCGCCGTGGGAAATGCGGGCATGTCGGGGGTGTTTGAACCGCGGCCCCCTTTCCTAAAAATAATCTCTGTATTTTGGCAGGGACTGCGTAAGTTTCTGTGTCCTGCGCGGCCGTCGTTCATGGTTGTATCGCTCGTCGGTCGTCGCGCTGCTAGCGGCTACGCTTTTGGATGAGGATGCTGTGGGAATGTCAAACTGCATGTAATGGAAGGGCTGTGCCGTGTGGAGATCACTGCGCTTAACACCTCCTGAATGTTAAAGTGTGAAATTGATAAATTAACAGTCGATAACTACTGCCTGGTTACAATTTTCAGTTTCAGTTCATCTGCTGTTTTCTTCAGTTTACTTGTTGAATGTGTGTCTAATGATGTGCCCCCTCCGCCCTGTTGCAGTTCTCTGAAGCACAGTCTGCGGTGCGGTCATTGACTGTCGCCTGTGCTAAGTTATAAAGTTAAAGTGAAAACCCACCTTTCTGGTGTTAGTGCCAATTTCCGTCTTCTGCCATGGAACATAATAACAGCCTACCGCCCTTCGCCCAGGGACTGGCCTCTCCGCAGGTGAGCATCACCGTGCCCATCAGGTTCCGTGCGAAGTCAGCCAATGTGCTTAATTGACGGTGCAAGGCAGCTGGGACGTAATGCACGGCATCGACTGGGTTTTGAATTACTTAAATATTTTACATGTAAGGTAAAGAAATAATTTAAACAGGATGTATTTTTACAGAATGCATCAAAGTCTAATGAATCTTGTACTGATTCTTTGGTGTTTTTTAATGTCTTGTTTTTGCTGAGTGTGCATTTTGCATGTGATAAACTGTTTACAAGTCAATACAAACTAAGTCAATAAGTCTGTTAAACCCACTGAGCGAATTCCACATTCCCCCAGGGTGCCATGACGCCAGGCATTCCCATATTCAGCCCTATGATGCCCTATGGCACGGGGCTCACCCCCCAGCCTGTCCAGAACACCAACAGCCTCTCCCTGCTGGAGGAGCAGCAGCAACGGCAGCAGCAGCAACAGCAGCAGGTGTCGTCCCAACAATCTGGTGCCGCCCCAGGGAGCTCGGGGCAGACCCCCCAGCTGTATCACTCTCAGACAGTTATGACCACCACTGCACTGCCTGGAAACACCCCCCAGTATAGCACCCCACTCACGCCTATGACCCCTGTCACCCCAGCCACGCCTGCCTCCGAGAGCTCTGGGATCGTCCCCCAGTTGCAGTGAGTGACTCCAGGGGGTTGGGCAGCCCTGTCTGTGGTGGGGGTGTGAGGGACATAGAGACGTAAGAGAATCTGGCTTTCATGGCCAAGATGTGACGGAGTGATGTGAAAATGAGTGGCAATGTTGGCACAGTATGGGTTGGTGTATCATGATTACAGGTTTAGCCGCCTGCCCCTTTTGGGAAATACACGGCAGTTGCTGATGTTTACTTGAGCAGCTCAAGTAAACAATCTCTTTGAACTGTTCTGTTTCTCTACTTTCACTGCAGAAATATTGTGTCGACTGTAAATTTGGGCTGTAAACTGGATCTTAAAACAATAGCACTGCGTGCCAGAAATGCTGAATACAACCCGAAGGTAAGATTTCCTTTAGAATAGGGTCTGGTTTGGGCTGGGCTAACACAAGAAAACTGGTTTCTTTGGGGGAGCAAAGCTGCCTGTGAACTGAGAGGGAGCAAAAATGTGGACTTTCTGGCAAGTAGCTGGGAGTGAACAAAAACATGGATTGTCTGGGGGTTCTTGGGACTGCGTACAGAAACACTGCCTTAATATGTGTCTATTTCTCACACCAAGACACATTCCTCGTTCTGACCTCTTTCTGCCATAGCGTTTTGCTGCTGTTATAATGAGAATACGAGAACCTCGGACGACGGCCCTTATCTTCAGCTCAGGGAAGATGGTGTGCACTGGCGCCAAAAGGTCTGTTTTGGACACATTTGACCAACAATTTCACAGAATGTGTCAGTGTTATGTGAGAAGGTGGACAGGCCCTCACATGGTGGATTCAAGGATCTCTGTCCTTGTGTTTTTAGTTCATTTTTGTGGTGGTATTCCAGCTGTCTGCTTGCATCTGGCTTTCACAGTGAGGAGCAGTCACGTCTGGCAGCCAGGAAGTACGCCCGTGTTGTACAGAAGCTGGGTTTCCCTGCCAAGTTTTTGGACTTCAAGATCCAGAATATGGTGGGAAGTTGTGATGTCAAGTTCCCCATCCGGCTGGAGGGCCTGGTGCTTACACACCAGCAGTTTAGCAGGTACTCCTGCATGAGGCTGTCCTGCTGCTTAATTTGACCACAATGAGCGTTCACATGCATCTTGTGGACACTTCTGTTCCTCCAGTGAATCTTGTCCTGTCTTTTTTTGTCTCCCAGCTATGAACCTGAATTGTTCCCAGGGTTAATCTACAGAATGATCAAGCCCCGCATTGTCCTTTTAATATTTGTTTCTGGTAAAGTTGTGCTAACAGGTAAGGAAAACAAGGTTTACTTTAAGAACTTTAGCAGAATATCATGAAAAAGGCTGAGAAGTGTGACTGAACTCATTTATAGTTGGAAATGTAGAAGCTATTGCTTTGCTCCTTGAAACTTTAGTGTGCAAACCTGTCAGGTGAATTCTCTTATTACAAATGTCAACCCTTTGTTTCTAGGTGCCAAGGTCAGAGCAGAAATCTATGAAGCTTTTGAGAACATCTATCCTATTTTGAAAGGGTTCAGGAAGACCACATAATCTGCTGGGCACTGGACTGTTACTTCTCATCGCAATGAACTTGCATTGTGCTTTTTCTGGTCCCGTGGACTTCAAATGGGCATGTGGGGGACCTGAAGTATGAGGTTACCAATCCATCCTGTTTGGCTTCATGGCGTTTCATTTCTTGGGAGACTTGTTTTTTTTTTGATTTTAAATGTCTATTGGACCCAGAAAATGTGGTTCGACATTTCCCCCCCTCCTTGGAAGGCTTTTTGTTTTTAATTTAGCCTACAATTTTAGGTGTAGAGTTCATTACATTTTTATTCACCAGGCATTTTAGATCAGTGCCCCCCCCCCACATTCCTTTATTAGTGGAAATATTTTGAATGTTTCAAAGAATTTTTCTGCAAATGTACATGTCTAATTTTTATACAAGTTAAACTGTTTCTCAAAGCACCGTTAAACTTTGCTGCAGCCTATCTGTATTATGCAATCAGTTTTGCCCTTAATTTGCATCAACATCATAAATGTGAAGTGAAATGCATAAACATTCAAGGTAAGTTGAACCAAATGTCCTATGCAATTTGCATATAGTCAACTTTCCAAAAATTGTTTTAAGAGCTAAAGCGATAGTTGTTTAAAACCTGACTTTTCAATTTTAATGTGTTGTGCAGCATCCAGGGGTTGATTTTAATTGCCCCTGCTAATCAAACATCCCTTAGAGGTACTGGGTCTTTCACAACACACTCTCCTTCAATTGCTGCAACTGCTTTCATTTTAGTTTCCGATGTGTCTGTGACTTCAGTGCTGTACATAAATGTTACCTTCCTAGGTCACCTGTGTATGTGCTTTCTGTCCAGCTAGCATAAGTTTGCTGTACACTGACATAAGCCACTGTTCACTGAAATGAAGATGAATAAATACTTTGAAGGTCTTTAGCTAGTGATGGTGTTGTAGCCATGTTGTGTCGGTGTGGTACTGCATAAAGTTAACACATTCAGCTGTGCCATTCATTATTTTTAATTCACTTTAGCATACAGGTGCCATTAAGTGGTCATACTAACAATTTTAGGGGAAAGGTTAAGAGACTAGAATTTGAAAAAAATTCCCTTAGTCTTCTTGTATAGTACTTTACATGAAGTTGTTCCATAAAAATCTGAAGTATCTGAAGTGAAGAACTCCCAGTGCATTCCATAAGATGAAGATGCACTTGTGAGTAAATAGTATGTGAAACATGAGGCTTCCAGTTTTATCGCCGTATGACTTGAGTAGCCTGCCTTAGTCAGTGCCATCACCACCTATGTCTTGTTTCCAGAGGAATTCTGGGGAGTATTTGTTGCCATGGTCACAGCTGTCCTCACATGTGTAGACTAAGAGAGTGCCCCAGTCTATGCTGTCTCCAGGGCTGTCCACATGTAGGTGGTTAAGAAGCTGGGGCATAACCTGGGGCAAAGAGAATATGTACATATTACCAGAACCACACCATGGCTGAGAAAATTCTCTGGATCTGGATGTGAAACTATCTGGAAAGTTTAGCATTTCCCCTGCAGAGGTGTAACACCTGCAATTCAAACAGTCGCCTTGCCCCACAGGTGCACTTTGGTATGTCCTTGTCTTTGGGAATGTGCTCTGAGGATACCCAAAGGGGAGAGCCCAGTCTGCAGTAGCGCAAAACCTGGGGGGGGGGGGGGGGGGGGGGTTTAAAAAAAAAAAAAAGGATTTCACACACATTGTTTTAACATTTCATGCAGTAGAATTACACAGAACATAAGCTTATTTATAGCTCAATGCTATATTTAATAAGGGAATTTTGTTGCTTGCATACCAGCAAGTGTTTTTGGTAATTCTGAAAAATGCACTTTTTTTTTTTTTTTTTTTTTTTTAAAGGCTTTACCTGCTCAGGTTCCGGCGCCGTTCTTAGTTTAAATTTCTGAAAAACTTTGCTGTCCTCAGTTTCATGCATGGCCATATCCTGAAGCTCCTTCTCCTCCATAGCTGTAGAGGACACTGACAGTTACAGTAGTGCCATCGCGCAGTATTGTGGATTTTTTTCTACAAACGACATTAACTTAGTCTTACCGCTACCGTCGTCGGAAGGGTGAAGTTCCAGGCCCTGTTTTTCTTCTGGTGTCTTACCGAGCTTCTCATCTTTTGCTGGCAGCTCTTCGGGTTCAGTAACCAATTCAAACTCCGGGAATATGAACGTATTCAAGTGGTCTGAGCAGGTTTGTTCTGTACGAAAGGGCAAGAATGTGTTTCGTTTTACCGGAGTTTGAATGTGCATGGCTTATTACAAACACAATGTATATACGATCACCCCCTTACCTTTACCAGCGCATTCATTCTTATGACCAGCCTTCCAGTCAATTGTCTGATGTTCTTTACTACAGTAATTGACCGCATGACAACGGGAGCAAACTTTTGGACCAATGCAGCCGCATAACCCGCAAAGCTTAATCCCGGACTTCAGCGCATCGCTTTCGCTTTCCTTGGGGTCCTCGTCAGGTGGAGGGTCGTATGGATAAAAATCATTTTTCCTTGCTAATTGACTCCTAAAGACTGAGATAACAATGCGATTTCATCAGACACATGGAAAATAATTATCATAATATGAACCACACTTAAGTTTCCCGTTACCTTTGAAGCAGCGATTGTCGTTGCGAGAATAACACGAAGGAGTTTTACAACAAAAAACAAAGATCGCTCTATGAAAACTTCTGTCCTGACCCAAAATAGGGGCATAAACCTGCAGGAGGAGGGCGGTAGGCAGATGGCATTTTTCGCACTCTAGCTCCAACCCGCCCGGTAGATCAGATTGACTCAACCAAGCAGGCTTTCCTCCGACTTTGCTGGGGAACTGAGAGCTCCTTAAATGCCAAGGCTCCACTTCTTCCACAAACCCCAGCACAATCCCGGTTTCAGATTTATTTTGACCGCATTCGTTCCCTGCCATTATATTTAATTATGGTACCCGTCAAACTGAAACACTTGTGCACTACTGAAATATTCGCGTGTTTCAGTTCTGGGCTCGCAACACACACACCTTCGGGATTTCGTCACCATATGTCGTCCCCAGTGCACAGCGTAAATTAAAAAATGGTTCCGGAATTTGAAATACATCTTTTATTCGAATTCGAACACACGTACATTATATACGTTATAGCCATTCACATAAAATTGATTTTTATGACAACATTATAATAATTTATATGTCATTTAAAATTTTTATTTTCTGTAATTCTTTTTAGGATCTGTGTACTGATTACGTTGGGAATTGATCGATGTACAACTAATAACCCAAGCGCAGCACAGCACAGAAACAATTAATTGGATTGGAACCCTTAACTCTGGAGGGGTGCTGCAATAGTGGTTCCCACTGAGTTACCATGTGCCCCAAACAACCAGATTTTCTTTATTAAAACACACACACAAAGCATAAAATTTTTAGGTTTATATGAACAGAACCGTTTTTGTAATATATGCCTACGTATTCTTTGTAACTCCCGGTTGTTTTGGCTGTATTTGCATGTTGTACACGGTTTTTTAAATTAAAAAAACATTGCACACAACAGTTCACCTAACAGGGAAGAAACCGAAGGAAATCCACACGACACCGGCAGAAGTATTAAACCACAAAAGAAGTCATAAAGCTACGGCTATACTGATGTTATAGAACTAGAAACCAGACCACGGTAAAGGATTCAAATGTAAAAACAATTATCAAAACGGCAGCACTTCCGGTTTCGTTTAGGGACCCGGATGGCACATGACACGTCGCGCCTGACGCAGAAGACGAGGCGTGGCGCATGCGATGTGTGAACTTTGACCTCGGACTTCCGGTCCGCTGAGTCGCTTCTGTTCTGGTTTACGTGTAGTTTCAGCTTGAAAATGGCTGAGAAAAAGGCGAACTCCAGCACTAACCTGCTGTTCTCCACAGCACCGGAGTTCAGTTTAAACGTGCCCTTCATACCTGTGAGTCAGGCCGCGGGTCCGGCTGTGTTACCAGCAGGTAAGACGCGTCGTCAGCCGCTTCGGGAGCTCAGCTGTAACCCTTGGTTGAGATATAACTAGCGGTCTAGTCTTTGTATCAGTAAGAGTGTGGTTACCTTGGCTATCCCCATCTATCCTACTGATCTTAGTAACCGTTTTCATGGCGTGGGTAAACTGTATGGAGCGGGTACGGTGTACGGATGAATGACGTGAAAGTCTAGCAGAGTAATCTAAACGACACGGTCCTGGACTGTTATCCTATAAAACAGTGTCAGTGACACTAATCTGGTGACGAATACTTATTTAAACACCCGCTGACACCTGGCACAGGCGGCTTTAGCGGCTGTCAGTACGTTAAAATCTCCGGACTTTATGTTTTGAAACCTTCATTGATATTATGTCTTGGTAAATCGTTTGTGAAAGTGAAAGCCTAACGATGCTCGTTTCTGGCGTCTAGATGATTCTGCAGATGTGGGGGAGGAGGACAGTTTTCTGGGCCAAAGCTCTAGTTCACAACCTGCCACCTTCACCTACTTCTCGAACCCGACAAATAGCAGTGATCCTTTTGCCTCCATTGGTCGGCAGTCCTGTGCACCTCCTGCAGCAACTTCAACCACCATGTCCATCCCCACTGAGCCCCCCAGCTCTTCAGTTCCTCAGCCTGCTCTGGTCTCCCAGTTTGGAAATGTGGTGTACCCAAACCCACTGGCGAGGAGCATCTCGCCTTCAAACATTACAGCCCTGCCCCCTCCACAGGCTCAGCTGCAAGGGTACAACCCATACCGCCATACCCCCCTGAGCAGCCGGGCCAATCCCTACCTGACGCCCCCGGAAATGCAGCAGCACCATGTACCTGTGGCGTATTCTCAGAGTGTGCCTGTGGCCTTGCCTCCCCAGATGTACCAGAGTGTGGCTCCCCCCTTTTCACAGGTGGGCTTGTCATTGTTCCCTCTCTCTGTTTATTGCCTCTTGTGTGTGACTGCTTAATTGACTGTGCATGTGTTTCATATACAGGCACATGGACAGTTGCCGCCTGCCCCACCCACTGCCGGTCCTCTGGTGCTGGCTACGCCCATGATGCCCTATTCCTACAGTGTGTATGAGCCCATTCAGCCTCACTGGTTCTTCTGCAAACAAGTGGAGTCAAAGAAGATCTGGCTTCCATTCAGCATCCTAGACTCTATTCAGCTAGAGGAGACATTCAACTCAGGTGAGCGGCAGTGCGCATCTGTCCTGCTGCCTGTGTGACCTGCGGCTTCGGGGATAAATATGCCCCGCTCCTGTCTCCACTATTTAGTCCAGCCAGACCCTGAGAGCGTGGTGGTGCGTACAGATGGTGGCCGCTATGATGTGCAGCTATATGAGCGCCTGAGGAACGCTATCTACTGGGAGGAGGACCCAACGGAGGTGCGGCGCTGCACCTGGTTCTACAAAGGCGATGCAGACAGCCGCTTTGTGCCTTACTCCGAGGAGTTCAGCGACAAGCTTGAGGTGTGTCAGCCCCCACCGCAACAAGCATGTGATTGGCTAAGGGTTTCCCCCCCACACGTCTCAGTACATTATCTCTGACACGTGTGTCACGTGTGCTTCTGCTCTTTAGGCTGAGTATAAGAAAGCAGTTTCCACAAACCAATGGCATCGTAGGCTGGAATTTCCTACAGGAGAGACCATTGTGATGCACAACCCGAAGGTAAGCTCCTCAGATGGTGCTCGTGACTGCAAAGGTCGGAGTGTCCTTCACCACCATACCCCCATCCTCTGGCCCTCAGGTTATCGTTCAGTTCCAGCCATCCGCAGTGCCAGACGAGTGGGGGACAACTCAGGATGGGCAGACGCGCCCCCGGGTGGTGAAGAGAGGAATTGACGATGAGCACGATGACATCCCTGACGGTAATGCCCACCGTCTCACTCTGCTGTCCAATTATAGTGACGTCTTGGATGCACCTCTGCTCATGTTTTCTGACAGCCTGTGCTCTTCTGCAGGAGAGATGGCCCAGGTGGACCATCTGGTCTTCATGGTCCATGGGATCGGCCCTGTGTGTGACCTGCGCTTCAGGAGCGTGGTGGAGTGCGGTATGTATCTTGCAGGGTTGGGGCCAACTCTGGGGCTCATGCAGGGGCTCCCGCTGTTGTTAATGCCCCTGTGTCTCGGCCATTAGTGGATGACTTCCGCAGCGTCTCGCTGAAGCTGCTGCAGAGCCACTTTCAGAGAGCCCAGGAGGAGCGTATCATCAGCCGTGTGGAGTTCCTGCCCGTGCAGTGGCACACAGCGCTCCATGGGGATGCCACTGGTGTGGACAGGTGAGCCTGAGGCATGAGCACCATCCTCCTTCGTTGACCTCCCTTGGCATGATGACGGATCATTCTGCTCCCTCTCAGGCGGTTGAAAAAGATCACTCTGCCCAGCATCGGCCGCTTGCGCCACTTCACCAACGAGACCCTGCTGGATGTGCTCTTCTACAACAGCCCCACCTATTGCCAGACCATCCTGGACAAGGTGGCTCTAGAGATGAACCGGCTGTTTGCCCTCTTCATGAAAAGGAACCCTGGCTTCCAGGGAGGCGTGTCCGTGGTGGGACACAGTTTAGGTCCGTATGGAGGTATGATGCCCCCACGTTCTGTTCAAGAACCTCGTGATTCTCATGCTTCTCCATCTTTGATTTGCAGGTTCTCTTATCCTCTTTGATTTGCTGTCCAATCAGAAAATGGCTTTCCCGCTCCTGCCTCCCACTGCTGCTGATGGCAGAAACCTGGAGGAGAGTAAGCAGGTGTGGATTTCATTAAGCCTCATTTGAGAAATCCAGCTAGTTGCATAAACATAAGTGCCGGTTCTGTTTCAGATGCTATTTTTGTGGCACTGTGATTAAAAAAAATTTGCTCTGACCCAAAAGAAAAACCTGACCTGTTCTTATCATGTGCTCTGGCCTTCCTGTAGGTTGCAGGTCCCCTCCTACAGGGAGGTGATGCCACCCCCCAGCAGGTGGTGGATGAGGGATCTATGCAGGAAGGGGAGGAGTTTGCCAACCTTTCGGCTGTACTGGAGCATCTCAGCCTCTCTGAATATCTCAGCACTTTTCAACAGGAAAAGATTGACATGGAGTCCCTGGTGAGAGATGTGTTCCAGCCCCTCTGAGAGGGTCATAGGATGGGCTGAGGATCCTTTCATTATCTCTTGTGAACTTCTTTCATTCAAACTCAAAGCTCATGTGTACCATGGAGGACATGAAGGAGCTGGGAATCCCACTCGGGCCACGGAAGAAGATAGCCAAATTTGTGAAAGAGCGGATGGCCACGCAGGTAAGCCATTAGCAAGCCTTCTCCACAGTAAAGCTTCCTGTGTATTAGCGTATCAACCCTAGCCCCCCACTCCTTGTCACCAGACAGCGAGACATGCAACATCTGAGTGCCGGTCGGCCCTGGAGGCAGAGAATCCGACAGCCCAGCAGAGCCAATTAGCAAATGCTGTTGCTGACCCTGTCTCCCAGAAGGTCCCTGGTAAAGGAGCGATGTCCTCTGTGCATGTGGACTATAACTACTTTGAAGTGGGTACTGGGCAGGTATGTGTGTGTTAGCTCTGATAGAGATGAATCTGAGCTGCTTTTTGTTTGTTGTATTTAGTATAGTGGCAGAAGTGTGGATTTTGCCAGGCCACTGTGTAACCGGTACACAGCCACATAGCTATCTGTCAGACATATTTTACTGTGATACCTCCTTTACTCGATCTGTCTCTGCCACATTGATTTTCAGGTGTCTGTGGTGTACCACACTCTGGACTTCGAGCCTGTGAGTTTCTTTGCCCTGGGCTCTCCTATCGGGATGTTCCTGACTGTACGTGGCCTGGAGATGATTGAGGAGAACTACCAGCTGCCCACCTGCAAGGGCTTTTTTAACATCTACCACCCGGTCAGTCAGGCCGCTTGTGGAACCACATAGCGTGTCCCTGCTGGCTGTCAAATTAACCTGCAGTATTTTTACCCATGTGCCGTTATAGCTGGATCCGGTGGCTTACAGGATCGAGCCAATGATTTTGCCAAACATCGAACTGAAACCAGTTCTCATTCCTCACCACAAAGGGAGAAAGAGGCTCCATTTGGGTACTGACCTTCTTCATCGGGCCTGGTTTTGCTTTCATAAGAGATTCATTTGTGATGGACAAAACCCCTACAGCCTTTCAGATGGGACTGACTCTTAAATTCAGCACTGTATTAGAACCTAAGAACACTGCACTTAGAACCCCGAAACAACTCGCCTAGAACACACTGCACTGAAAATCCAAAACCACCTTATTTAGAACCTAAAAACTTAAGACCCTCAAAAATACTGTCTTACAACCTAAAAATCCCTCACTTAGAATGTAAAAACACTGCACTGAAAACTTGGAAACACTGCTTTCCTGCATATTGAATGAAGCAGTTAAATTCTGTTTCCTGTCTCTGTTATTCACTGGCAGAGCACTGAATGTGTTTAAAGTACTGGGCAAAGCAAAATAATGTTGGGTGCTTGATTCTCAAAGTGAGTTTTGTTATATTGAAGCTAAGCTTGCTAACCCCTGTGACCTTGACAGAGCTGAAGGAGAGCCTGAGCCGCATGGGCTCTGATCTGAAGCACGGCTTCATCAGCTCCCTGAAGACGGCCTGGCAGACACTAAATGACTTTGCCCGTGCCCATACCTCCTCACCCCAGCTGCAAGCAGAGCTGGAGAAGGTGGCCAATCAGATCAAGGAGGAGGAAGAAAAGCAGGATAGTGAAGGTCAGCAGATACCAATGTCAGGATTTGCTTAGTTAGCGTTGAAGCCCTGGTCACCCATTTACCTGGCGTGTCCTCCTATAGTTCTCAGGTTGGTGGAGAACCCAGATGCTGTCAAGGAGGACCCCCCAGTGAAGATTGGGATGCTGAATGGGGGTGGTCGCATCGACTACGTGCTGCAGGAGAAGCCCATTGAGAGCTTTAATGAATACCTGTTTGCGCTGCAGAGCCACCTGTGTTACTGGTATGGAAACATTAACTTTGATTAACTACCTTTTCAATGTCTGAATGAAGGAACAAGAATCTGGACTGAGAGCTTCAGTCTCTCCACATACAACTGACATGGCAACCAGTATGTTTGGGGTCTTCAGCCTTATATGATCCCCTCTCAATACAACAAAGTTCAGACAGGTGGAATAAAAGCCTTCTCTCTACTGCAGGTGGCTCCAGTAGGGCTGTCACTTTTTAACCGATATTCAAACATTCATTCGAACATGATGTGAAAAGTTCATATTCGAACTATAATTAATCCAATCAAATTTTAAAGTGTCACTATAGCTTGTAAATGCATTAGACCATTTGTTGTAATTTTGTATGCCATCTACAGAGCCCCTAAAAGGTCAGCGTGGGAAAAATATTTTTTGAAATAGTTTTGCGTTCTCGCTACACTTGCCCACTTGCTATTAGCTGCAACGTGACTGCAAGGATAAACCTAAATAAGACAGACATGTCCTGTAAAGTGTGCTTTAAGCATTAAACTTTGGGGGACAGTGTATACAGTGTACCTTTAATACAATGCATTTTTACATGTATTTATTAATAATTGCACTGTGTCAATTCACCACCAGTTACTTTAAGCAAGACAGCTGGGCTATTGAATATGAAGTGCACACACAAACACTGAAACACATTACAAACATTGAAAAATATATCTGGAAAACTCCATGTAAACCTAACTTTACTGTGGTTTTGGAGTTAAGGTTTTAACTCAAACCCGCTTTCTGGAATATTTCAGTACAGATTCACATATCCCCATGCACATCATTAAACAAGAATTCTAGGGAGAAGGGAGGTATAACTGGGTTTGGGTTTAAACCTTAACTATGACAATGCGTTAAAGTCAACCTTGCATTGTTTTCCCGGCTATAATATCTTTAAACAAAAGTAAGCATCACCTCTTGGTTTTCCAGATTTCTTTACGGGTGGATTTTAATATTTGAGTGTATGTATGTACACTTCATGTTCAGTAGTCCAGCTGTCTAGTTACTGGTGGCGAACGGACACAGTGCAATTATTAATACATAATATACACACCTATGAAATTTACATAAGATGAAATTTGTTTGAATTTTAAAAAAGTGACAGTCTGAGTCTGACACACAAGCCACCCTTGTTCATTTTCTTCCTTTGTTTTCCTACTCAATTTTGTAAAATCACATGCCTACAGAGCTCCTTAGAGCAAGACTACATTTTCAGCACTGAGGCCATTTAAGTCTAGAAGCTCTTCAGTAGTTTATGATCCTTTGTTTTTCAGGGAGTCTGAAGACACAGCCCTGCTGATCTTGAAGGAGATCTACAAGATCATGGACGTCTACCCGGAACAGACCTTGCATTAGTGATGGGGGGGGGGTTTATTTGATACATTTTCTGCTTTTTTGTGGTCTATTGGAAGTAATAGGATTAATACATGTATATGGCCATGAGTCTTCAATTATAAGCAGATATTAAATTTCTAGTGAGTTTCAACTATACTCCATATTTTACAAACTATATAGAGACGGATGTTTGCTTGCTGCTCATATATATATATACTGGTGGTGAAAACATAACATTAACAGACTAGCATTTATTTCCAATGAATAATGTGAACTGTGAATGCAACACTGTAGTCTCTGGTCCAGTAGCAGCTGCAGTGTGGTAATAAACAAGGGGCCCATCCATAATCTCCACATTACATTAATGTGAAAAAGGCCTCTCGGTGAGACATCTCTACTTTAATTGCATTTTAATTGGTTTGTTTACATTCCCTTATAAACTGTAGCAGAAGGCTCCTTAAGATGGGTGATGTTAAAGCACATTGTCCAGCAGGTGAGCGCTTTAGCCACTTGTGGCGTGAGCTTTCTTAACTTTGTCTGCAGAGTTTTAAATGCTTGCATTGCCAACGACTAGATGGGTTTTATGGGAGTCATCTCACAACCAAATTTATTGGTGGTGTATCAAAGGAAACATTCTACATGGAGAATAAATGAGATTTAGCATTAACATGTACTGCTCACTTGAAAGGAAAGTGGAAGTCGATTAAAAACACTGTACATGTGGCCAAACTGCTAATGTTCACCTCCTTTCAGCTTGCTTTTAAAGTGTACTGGATGCTGTCAACAACGTAAATTTAATCTACTTGTATAAAGTCCTACACCTGGAGGCAATTTATAAGGTTATAAGATTACAACAGCCAACGCAGACTTCGTCCCATCACACCAGTAACACAGGAAGTGGGGTGGGCTGCTTCCATAAAAACTGGGTTTAATTAATTTCTTAAACTTCTTGAAGCATAAGACAATCCAGAACAGTTAGAGAGAAGATAAAGGCAGAGCTCTACCCAGACCAATACTGCAGTTAAAACACTTTAAAAGGTCCCCATGAATAAAACACACAGGAGCAACAAATCTGTGAATTTAAGGAAGCTCGATGTCAGTTATTCAAGTTAGGACAAAAACAATCCAGTAGAAGTAAAGCAGCACAGAAGTGAAATCAAGCTGATATTAGAAAATTAACAACTTTATGCATAAATCCCAATGGGAGAAAGGCCTGGTCAGGGTTGTTCGATGCTGTCAAGTACTGTGAGGTTTCAGATACTTCCTGACAGTCTGATCACTGCCTAGAGTAAATCCTATGTTATCCTCTCAAATCACAGGCATATACCTGGGATAAATTAAACAAATCCCTGAAAAACATTTACAGGCCACTGGGAAATTTCAACCATTTACAGGCCACTGGGATGTTTCTGTGCCGAGAGCTGACATCACCTCATGATTTCAGCCAAAATGGACTTATGGGCAAGACGAATGTAACCAAAGCAAAATGTTTCTGAATGACAGTAAAAAGCACACTTTGCATCCATTATCCGTTGGACTACAGGGTGCTTTTTAGTGCTATTTCTGCAGGTCTAAGGAGAAGCCATCAGAGCAATGTGGCATGCATGTACCTCAGCTCAGCTGCTCCTGGTTTATTCCTTATGAATTTGCCACGTATCACACATATCTTCATACTTATGAATACTTGTGGGAAAAATGAGTAAAATTGAGGTGCCTTTATGAACAGGATTTTTTTTTGCAGAGCCACTCAAACACTGAATGTTATTTTTTAGGATACATAGTGGAAACAGGACATCAGCCTGTAAAAGGGACAGACAAATGCTCATTTTACTCTAACTCCCTTTCCTTCATTAGACAAATCAATATAATAATGTTAGAAATGGACTTAATTTCAAACTGATTTGTGGAAGACAAAGACAGTATTGTGCTTCATTTCAAGAACAAGCTAGCTTTGTTCATTCTCTTCCTTTCCTGCCTCAGCAGTGAACTTCAATTCTTCTTGCTCTGCGTGATCTTCAGGCCCCGCCTACTCATTAGGTCTTGCCAACTCGTCAGGCTTGCTCTGGACCTTGTAGGCCTGCTTGCGAAGGTGCTGTTCGATCTCGTCCCGGAACACCAGCATGCCTAAGTGAGAATGTGAAGCTTCATTCATGGCCTTGGACTGGATACACATGCGGTACTGTTCTGGGGTCAGCTCATCTGCACAAAGCTTCTCGTGCCACAGGTGGAAGAGGCCAGATACGGGCGTCCGCACGACGACAAACTCGCTTCGCAGGTACTTTCTGTACAGGTGGACATCCTCCACACCCCAGCCTTTCACTTCAAGATCAAAGCCTCCTGAAGAGAAGGAGAAATTCAAAGATTTGTAAACAGGAACATGACTCACCAAGAAAGCTCTGACAGGTGGAATAAAAGCCTTCTCTCTACTGTGGGTGTCTCCACACATACCAATGCTGAGAAAGTCTGAACGATACTGGCAGGTCATCCCAAATCCAAAGTCTCTCCAGAAACCAGCATCTTTTTTATGAACCTGAAAAGTCCAAAAAATGTTACAATCTCCTGAAAGCTTATAAAGAATCGGCCAACTGGTACAATACTTAATAATATTGTCAGGCGATTTATAATATTTCTGGAAATACTCACAAGCTGATGTTCAATGCTGGGAGATAGCTCCAGGTTCCCATAAACGATGGCAGGATTGTACAGGCTGAAGACCACTGGATAAAAAACTCTTCTGCCTAAAGAAAGAGGAATGTTAAGAATTAACACAAAACAGAGCCAGTAATTCATCTCAAACTGAAAATACCAACATGCATCTCAAAACATCCTTCTTCAAAGCACATTTCCAGTATAGGGTCACACACTATAGGGACTACTGAGACAAAAATTAGCCTAAATGCATGCTTTTGGAGTGTGGGAGGAAACTCCTAGGGGAAGACCCAGGGCACACTGGCTTGGGAGCGCCTAAATGTCGTCCTGGGAGAGGAGGAAGAGGTAGCTAGGGAGACTGAGGTCTGGGCACCTCTGCTCAAACTGCTACCCCCACGACCCAGATGAGCAGTGAAGAATGAATGGAAGCATGGATGGATGAGTGGATGGATGAAATTCAGAGAGAACATACAAAGAACACTAGTATTGCAGGAGTGGGATTAAAAAAGGCTGTTCTCTTAAAATACACAAAATACAAGAAAGACATATATATGTAAAGCAGGCCATTTACCTAACTAAAAGGATTAGTTTATTTTGGAATGTTTTTAGACAACTACCACTGTACCAAACATATTGGAATAAAGCGATGTATTTGTAAAGCAGAGCAGAAACTGACAGAATCGGGAGCGATACCTGGAGATGTATTAAGCCGACATGTGTTGAGGAACTCAGGGCTGAAGTAAATGTCAACATCACAAAAGAACATCAGCACGTCACTGTTCCCCCATGCGTGGGCCCCTATATTTAAACCCCGCCCCCGTGAAAATTCCTCATCCACAGGGATCAGGGTGTAGTTGGAGAAGCTCTCTAGCCTATGAAATAAAGACAGGAAGCCTCATCAAACACTCTAAGGCAAGACAAACAAAGTTCAAGACAAACGGCCTCCAAGGACAGATTGTACAGATTTGGGGACTAACACAAGCCAGAGAGATAAATATTGATTTATTTACCTACCTACTTGAGTACCAGTATTCCACAGCACTCCACACCCCACTAGAAATTTATCTGCAAAATTTCTCTACAAATTTTAATGCAGAAGTAAAAAGGTTATGTTTTATAGATTCTATGTAGGGAAAGTAACAACATTCTAAACACGAACCTGGAGACTTTCTCCAAGGAGGATTTCACCTCCTGAAGACCTTTCTGTCCAAAATAGACGACAGTGAGATGCACCCGCTTGTCATGCTGTATGCAGACCTCCCTGGAATGAGAGTGACACGATCAGGAGGCATAGTGGAGCGCAGCAAAGCAAGGACGAGTGCAAGGTCATTGGGAAGCATGGCAGACTGCAGCAAAGCAAAGAGGAGCTTAACAACTCCATGAGTATATTTGCACACACTGAACCCTTTTACTAAAAAGAGGATTTTGCCCACATGCCAAACTAACTTATAGCAAAACACTGGCTGAGATAAAGTACAACCTAGAGGTGGATGATGTGACCAACATGACACATCACAATATTTTTGGGAGGAATAACAATCCAAGATATACATCACAATTTTTTTGTTTACAAGCCAACCAAACTGGAATATATGTAATGGTAACTGACCATACCACTTAACCAGAAATTCCATCCTTAGAAAAAACACTGCTTATAGCATCATAATAAACTTAAGGTATGTAAAATGCTGTACATATAAAAGAAATTGACTAATATAGCAAAAGTGTTTTTTACCGTTTAATACTAAAGTAGTTTTTTTGTACAAATTAGCACTTCACCTTGGTCAATAACTGTGCACTTCTGAACTTAATTTACAACAAATAATGGATAAAACTGGTTGTGTTAGCACCTGTTGTAAAAACAGTATCTTTGCAACGTTTGCAAATTAAAGTAGATTGATCCATGGAGGATTTCATAAATTCAAGCTTACTGTTGCAGCCTCCAGACACGCAGGCTTCACATAATAGGATAGATTTGGGAGGATTAGTATGTCCTGTTCCTTTATACAGATTAAAAGAATATTTTATAATACATTAAGTACACTTTAATTACTATTACAGTTGGGCATGGGTGGTTTTATTTTGAAAAGATACAAGTGACATAGGTGATGTTTTCTCATATTTGTTTTATAATTGTCGGAGTAACAATGCAAAGGGAATGACAAGCCGTTTCAGCTGAAAACAATGCATTTCACTTTATTTCAATTAAAATGCAAGGTTGCCAATTTTGGTCAGCTGTCAGTGAGATTTTCGATTCGGGCCTATGTGTACACACATGCATTTACATGTATAACAGTTTTTTTTTTTTTGTTTACCTTGTAAGTGGTCTGTAGGGTTTGCAAACTACCCCAACGCTTTTGATGTAGCAAATCTTAGGTTTATAATGGAATAATATAGATTTGCCATAAGATTTCTTGAAAGCATGAGCCTCACGCCAGATGCGTGAGAGTTGGCAACCAGGAAACCTATGTTGTTTGTTTCACCTGGGTTTATTTGCCTAAAAAAATAACATAGTGGTTAAACAACGTAAACTTTGACGAAAATGAAGTCACCAGTGAACTATGTCTATAAAAAATCTATAAAATACTGCATCTGAAAACTTTTCAGCTGTAGGATTTCAGGACAGGGAAGCCACTCTGTTAGGAGGATTATGGCTTTTTGGTTATAAGAACATAAGAACATAAGAAATTTACAAACGAGAAGAGGCCATTCGGCCCATCAAGCTCGTTTGGGGAGAACTTAACTAATAGCTCAGAGTTGTTAAAATCTTATCTAGCTCTGATTTAAAGGAACCCAGGGTTTTAGTTTCCGCTACACTAGCAGGAAGACTATTCCTTACTCTAACTACACGCTGTGTAAAGAAGTGCTTCCTCAAATTTGTTTTAAAATGTTCTCCCGCTAATTTCCACTTATGGCCACGAGTTCTAGTATTTAGACTAATATTGAAATAGTCATTTGGCTGAACAGCATCCAGACCCGTTAGAATCTTATAGACCTGAATCATATCCCCCCTTAGTCTCCTTTGCTCAAGGCTAAACAGATTCAGTTCCGCTAACCTCTCCTCATAAGACATTCCTCTAAGACCAGGAATCATTCTCGTAGCTCTTCGTTGCACCTTTTCTAAGGCAGCAATATCCTTCTTGAGGTATGGTGACCAAACCTGCACACAGTATTCTAGGTGGGGTCTTACCAAGGAATTATATAAGTGTAACATCACCTCCCTTGACGTTAGGAGCGCGATATACTTTACGTGAGGCGCACACAACACAAGCAGTGTTTTTTTTATTATATTATTAACAACAATCAATACAATTACCAAACATAAATATGTAGATTGCAGATAGCATACCATAGCTTATGTACTGAATCGTATACAGGATTTATACCTTGAAAACCAGTTTAAACAAAATATATTACAACTACTACAGAATGTAGGCATATATACATATACACAAATGTCTGCACAATAATACATGTTCACATAAACATAATAATAAAGTAAATGAATACTACATAATCCAGTGGTGATGCTACCGAAAGCTTAAGTAAGTTGTACTTTTCAATATATTCAGTGAGTTTAACACTGTTTTTGTTCCTCATACATTTTATAATTTTAACAAATAAAAAAAATCTTTTTTTTGTTTTGTTTTTTAAATATAGTCAGTATAGGATGGGTTTTGATAACACTACATTTTTGTATAAAAAACGCAGCTAAAATACATAAGTTAAGAAGGTATTAATCATTATGTTCATTACTCCAGAATACATATTTTACCTGAATATAATTAAATAAGTCTATTTTTAGATATTTTTTTTTGTATCATGCCATTGTATGAAATCTTCTCAAAAACCTTTGGAGCATGGACACTGTAAAAACAGATGTTCAGCTGTTTCAATACCCTTGCAGAACTGATGATAGCTTCCATCAAAATTAAATCTTATCCTTAAGAATTCGCAAGATGGATAAATGTCATTAAGCAATTTAAAATTAAGCTCTTTAGCACTGGGTGAAATAGGAAAATTTAAATCTTTTAATGGACTTGAGTGAATTTACAAAAGCTCACATATGTTCATGTGTAAGTTTAATCAAGATGCCCCACAAAAAATTAACTAAGCCTATTGCCTGTGGAATTTGTTCTTTGTCGCTGAGAAAAATTGTTGTATCGTCAGCAAACTGACATATGGATAATTGCTCTCCAAATACCTTGAGCTTCTTTATAGAGGCATCTTTGTTTTATTAAAATACCTAACATCTCCACTGTAAAAATAAATAACAAGGGAGAGATGGGACACCCTTGCTTAACTCCGTGTTTAATTTCAAAACGTTGTGAAGTACTTAATGGGAGTGAAACAGAACTATTAATCCCCCTATAGAAGATCTTAAGAGTTAACTCATTACTCAAGCCAAAATGTTCTAAACAATTAAATATAGATAAATGTTAAAACCTATCAAAGGCCTTTTGAAAGTAAAAAAAAAAGGAACCACCATCTTCAACCCACTCATTGTAATCTAATAGATCTACCACAATGGAACATTGTTCAGAATTGATCTACCTTTCATGAATCCTGGGTATTACCAATTATTTCTGAAAGACCATATTTGAGCCTATTAGCAAAAATTTTATAATCTGTACTGAGCAAAGTAATAGGTTGAAGGTTTTCAATATAACAGGAGTCTTTATCAGGTTTAGGTAGGAGAGTTATCAATCCTTGTGTCATTGAGGTAGTTAGAAATTGATCATGAATACATTCCAAAAATACCTTATATGAGATTTCTTATAGCATTCCTGCCCAGTCAATGACAATCAGTGACTTCATGGATGTTTTCCTTGTTCTGATATTTTGAATGAAATGATTAAGCTGCACATAGGCAAGACAGGTGCTGTAATTTACTGAAGTTTTATTTCTGACTGTAAACCTCTGTTTAAATATATGATGAATGTATGATATGCAGCCACGGGGAGTGGAGTGACTTACTGTATTTAGTCCTCCCAATTATGGTTGATGGGGGTTTAGGATTGGAATTCCATAGGCTTGGACGAGTGTTTACACCTGGTTGCTCACTTCATCTCCCCATCATAACTTCTTCAGTGGAACTCACCCCTACACCCTTCTCAAGCTGCCATTCACCATTATTGTCAACTAGTGCATCCCTTTTCTCCTACCTGTCGCCAAATTGAATTACTCTCAACTGGGCTTAAAATGGACCTAAACACGAGTCAGGACACTGGTCAGAACTCTCTGCATGGTGCAAGTCACATTTTCACAGACAGTTACATTTAAATGGCTATGGGTATCCAAAACGGTCTTTGTTGGAAGTGAGAATAAGTACTACAGGGAAAGAAATCTGTACCGCTCTTGACAAAAAGTAGTGGAGATTTTGCATTTGCTATATTGGTTGTATATGCCTATTTACTGGAATTTCTTTTCTTTTTTTGTAATGGTAGGTTCAAGGCAAATAGCTACACTTACTATAATTGGTAATAAGCATTTAAAACTTTTACTGTAGTTCAGTTAAATATTGAGACACACACACACACACACACACACACACACAATATACAGTGGTACCTCAGAACTTGAACGTAATCTGTTCAGAACTCCGGATTGAATCCTAAAAAGTTCGAGTTCTGATCCAATTTTCCCCATAAGAAATAATGGAAAACCAATTAATTGGTTCCCGACCCCAAAAAAATTACACCTAAATACGTTTTTATTTTTTTAGCATTTAAACACAAAATGAACCGGATAAAATAAGAGCATATAATGTACTAAACACATCTAAGCTCATTTTTCAAAACAGTAATTTGTAAAGCAAGAAAATAAATGTATCCAAACAATGTGTAAAGTTAAAAAAAATAAATAAATGTATCCTACCCCGATTGTCCGCTCCTTCCGTGTGCCACGCCCCCTCATTAACTCCATGTGGAATCCCCGTGTGATCAGCTGTTTCTGGTTGTTGTCATTAATCATGCGTATTTAGTCTGTGTTTCAGTTCGTTTCCCCAGTCCGGTCATTGTATTGTCCGTCTGCGTTATGCCTGCCTTACCTGTAATTAAACTCAGAATTCCCGATACCCTGACGTCTGCACCTTTGTCTCCGTTCTGTCCCTGCTCGGCACGACAATATTATTATAATTAAATGTATTAATGGTTTATTATTAATATTAAAATAATGAATTAGAAATCTATTTTTAAATGTATTTTATTATACAGTAAAACCCGGTTATGTCGCCGGCCTAGGGGGTTGCCAAAAAGCGTC